TTTTTTTTTTTTTTCTTTGTGGATTTGCAGAGGATGAACTGTTGGGAGTGAGTTGTTGAAGACGAAGGGGCATTTGGGGATATTTATAGTATTTTGCTGGTTTATGGGGGGCAAAAGTGGAATTATATAAAAGGAAGGTCACTTTTTGCAAGGTATGGTTATATTTATTTGCTTACATGGCTTACAGATATTTGCCAGCCAGTGGCTTTAGTTTTTAAATAGTGGTATAAAAAGAAAGTGATAATGATAATTAAACTGATTTTTATTCACATAATCACATCACAATGACTACTCTCACTTCATGGTAATGTGCTGAAGTCTATTTTTTGAATGAACATATTATTTCTGATTATAAACTTAAAACTTTGCAAAACTCTACTTGAGCAGCAGCTTTAACTCATTTTATACAGGAGCTATTAAACAAAACGAGCACCAAACGAACATACTGTGGGCTCGGTTCGTTTGATAAATGAGTCGAGTTTGATCATATTTAGTTAACGAACTTATCTCGGCATGTTTACTTGTTAAGGCTTGCTTATATAATCTTATGAACCTTACTCGTTAAAGCTCGAGTTTGGCTTGAATCTGACTCGTTAATTTTAATAAATGGATTGAGCTCGAGTTCGTTTATTTCCTCGATTAGATAACGGACTGGTTCATCTCATTCAGTTTTGCTCCAATTCGACTCGTTGAATTTAGATAAATTGCTTGAGCTCGAGCTCATTTATTTATTAGCTAGATTAGTTAAAGGATAGAGTTGGCTTAATTTGGTTTGTCTCAATAAAAGTTAGACCCCGAGCTGGAGTATTAAGATCACTGGTTCAGCTCGTTTGGTTTAGCTTGAATCCGAGTTGTTAGATTTTGATAAATGACTTGAGCTCGAGGTCGTTTATTTGTTCTATAGATTATTTACCAGATTGAGTTTGGGTCGACTTGGTTCAACCCGATAAAAGTTTGAACCCGAACTTGAGTTAAGATCAATGGTTCATCTCGTCGGTTTGACCCGAATTTGACTCACTAAATTTTGAGAAATGGCTTGAGTTCTATTAGCTCAATTAATTAATGGACCGAGCTCGATTCGACTTAGTTCGACTCAATAAAAGTTTGACCATTTGCTTGAATATTAAGATCGCTGGTTCAACTCGTTTGTTTTTTTCCTCGAATGTATGATTTGTTAAATTTTGATAAATGATTTGTGCTCAAGCTCGATTAATTAAATTACTAAGTCGGCTCGACTTGGTTCGGCTCAATATAAATTTGACCATTGACCCGGACATAGCAAAGGGGCAGGCTTTTGCACTTGTGGACTAAGACTCACCAATCGTAAATCAGCAAACAAAGGCCCCCAAATCAAGTTTCACCCAATAAAAAATTATGTTGTTTGTTGTACTTATGCCACAAGTTACCCAATAAAAAAGAATTGCAAGAAAAATAAAATAACCAAAAAAATATAATAATTGCAATCATAAAGGCCAAAAGTAAATCCTGGAAAAAAATTAAGGTGCAAGAAGAAAAATAAATTAAAATATTATCTTGGACCGGGTATTAATTTAGTCATCAGATAATTATAAAATTATAATGATTGGTTTTATCTGAATATTCAAGTATAGCTAGTATAAAGTACAAATTAATGCAAGCTAGTTATAAAAAGATGCATAAGATTCTTTATCATTCATATATAAGAAGCTTCCACGATTTTGCAATGGATTTATATGCTTGTGCCTTGTGGGAGTGTACTTGTATGAATATACCTCAAAAAACATATGCACACCATAGTTTAATAAGTAGATTTGCTCATATAATATATATATGGTTGTAATAGTTATGCTAGACAAATTTAATAGTTATAAATATCATATAAATGTTACACATAAAGTTAGTTTTTGTTTCAAAATTTCAAATTGTTTTTCTAAAAATTGCACTTAAATATTTTGTTTTATATAATATTTATAGTCATAATCTAATGCCCTAAACTAAGTACAAAAATACTCATGTATCGTACCGGTATGTTTGGTTACTACCATTTTTATTAATTTAATTAACTTTAAAGTTGAAAATCAATCATTTTATATCTATAAACATGCCATTTATCTATTTACATATTTTTAATTATTCATTACTACCATTTTACCTCTCTCCTATCACATCGCATTAGACATGGCCACGGGTCACCTGGCCCGCCCGGCACGGACCCGGCTCGGTCAAACCTGTTGACCACGGGGTTCGGGCCCGACACGGATTTCAAACGGGTCGGTCAAGGGTCATTTTTTTTACCTTGACCCGACGGGCCGGGCCGGTCCGTGTCGGCGCGGAAAAATACATTGCTTTTGTATTTTTTCTTATTTTTTAAAAAAAAAAATTATGTGGCCGGGTCCAAACCCGGGTCGGGGCCATCCCGGTCCGCCGGTTCAGGGTCGTCGAAACCTATCACCCGGCTCAGTTTTTGGTCATGTCTACATCGCATATAATTGTTATTTTTTATTAAAAATAAAATAAATGA